AAACAAGGAACTCTAGATAGGCTGACTAGATTCAGCAGATGGACAAGCACTGGGGAATGGCTGGGGTGCCGACAACACAGTGGACAGTAACAGGGATGACAGAGTATATGTGCTCCAGTGGGGTGGGTGGTCTATGGGAGGGTGCCATTTGGTGAGTGAGTATATAAATGAATAAGATGGTTTGGGATATTCTGTGTGATATACAAACACAGAAAAAAAATCAACAAATTTTTAAAAAACGTCCCTCTTATATTTGAGGAGGAAGCATCTAAGTTTACATCATGTTAACGAACATTCCCATTGAAATCTACCTGATGACTTTATAGAATATTTTATTTTTTAAGGCTAGTGAAAATGGGAGTCCCATGTGCTCTTTTTTCTGATTGCTTGTTATTGATATATAGAAAGGCTACAGACTTTTGCAGGTTAATTTTGTAACCTGCCACTTTACTGAACTTGTTAATAATTTCTAGGAGTTTTCTGGTGGAATTTTTGGCGTCTCTTAGATATAATATCATACCATCTGCCAAAAGGGATAATTGATCTTTTCCAATTATTATTCCTTTAATTTCCTTCTCCTGCCTTATTGCTCTTGCAAGAGTTTCAAGTACTATGTTAGAGAGAAGTGGAGATAGTGGACAGCCTGTCTGGTTCCTGATTTCAATGGGAATGCTTCTAGATTTTCTCCATTTAAAATTATGTTGGGTGTGGGTTTGTTATATATGGCTTTAATTATGTTGAGGTATGTTCCCTCCAGTCCAATTCCCTCTAGGACTTTGAACATAAGTCCATGTTGAATTTTGTCAAAGGCCTTCTCTGCATCTATTGAGATGATCATGTGGTTCTTGTCTTTGAGGCCATTTATATGATTTATGATGTTTCATTGAGTTACGTATATTGAACCATCCCTGCATCTCTGGGATAAAGCCGACTTGATCATGGTGGATGATCTTTATGATGTGTGTCTGCATGTGGTTTTCAGGTATCTTGTTGAGAATTTTTGCATCTATGTTCATTAATGATATGGGTCTATAGTTCTCTTTTTTGATTGTATCTTTACCTGGCTTTGGTTTTAGAGTGATACTGGCTTCATAGAAGGTATTTGGAAGTTCTCCCTCCATTTCTATTTTTTTGAATAAATTAAGTAGTATTGGATCTAGATCTTCTTTAAATGTCTGATAGAATTCTGCTGTAAATCCATCTGGTCCTGGGCTTTTTTCAGTCGGGAGGTTTTGTATTACTGTTTCAATTTCTTTTTGTGTTATGGGTCTGTTTAAGCTGTTAATCTCTTCTTGGTTTTGTTTTGTTGGTTCCCATGTCCTTAGATATCCATCCAATTCTTTTAGGTTTTCAAATTTAGTAGCATATACGTTTTGAAAACATTCCCTTATAAAGTTCTGTATCTGTTGTCTGTTGTGATGTTTTCCCTTTCATCTTTGATTTTGTTGATTTGGAGGTGCTCTTTCTTTCTTTTGGTTAACTGGGCTAATGGTCTGTCAATCTTGTTTATCTTTTCAAAGAACCAGCTCTTGGCTGTTTTGATTATTTGCGGTTTTTTTTGGTTCAATTTCATTAATTTTTGCCCTGATTTTTGTCATTTCTTCTTGTTTGCTGGGTTTAGGTTTCGTTTGCTGTTGGTTTTCAAGTGTGTTGAGTTCCAATGTTAAGTCATTTATTTGTGTTCTTTCTAATTTTTTGATGTAGGCACTTAGAACTATAAACTTCCCTGTAAGGACAGCTTTCAGCGTATCCCAGAGATTTTGTTGTGTTGTATTGTCCTTTTCATTTAATTCCAGGAATACTTTTATTTCTTTCTTAATTTCTCTTTTGACCCGTTCATCATTCAGGAGTGTGTTGTTTAATCTCCATGTG